GCGCGCGCTCTCGGTGTCTCTCTCTCTCTCTCTCTCTCTCTCTCTCTCTGTGTGCCTTCGTTGCAGACAGTACCGAGATCCGAGGAGAACCATCGGATGGAAGAAGAGCTCGCGACGGTTAAATAGATCCACGACCGCGATTAACACTTAAGAGTACGTTCTTATCGGGCGGGCTCCCATGCTTGATGTAGGATCCGAACCCGATAAGCCCAGAAGAGTTTGCTTAATTTGACAGATATTTTTCTGTCCGAATTGTTGTGATTTTAAGCTATTTCTCTGAACCCACGACCCGAATCCGAAAAGGATACAGAGATATTTTGATTTGATGTGGTAAGAAAGTGATTGAGGCCTAATGGGCCATTTGGGCCGAACTCATCTTTCCTTTAGGGTGGGCGTACGCAAAGAGGACAGGCAATTGAATGCGACAGATCGTATCACAGTCTCCGCCAGTGTGGGTGGGTGTCCGCGAGAGAGAGAGAGAGAGAGAGAGACAAACACACGGACTGACACCAATACGACCGACGGTGGCGCAACCCTCAGCTCTCCTTCCGCCTTGGGGAAGACCCCGCCACCCCTTTATTTGAGGCCAGAACCGAAGGCACCTTTTGACGGCAACAAGACAGTAGCAGCAGCAACAGCTAACTGCATCAACTTTCCTCATCGTTGAGAGCGGCCATTAATCTCCTACAGCCCTATCATCTTCCTTTCCGCCTCTTGCTTTGCTGCTACGTGGGGTGATGCCCTCCTCTACCGGAGGGATGCTCGGTGGTTCTTGCCACTGTTTACTTCGGTGGCTGGAATCATAACCACATGATGCGATCCTTTCTCCTCTCAGGCACGCCGGCCGTTCCTCAGCTTCTTCAAGTACTGAGCAGAAAAACCCTAAAATATCAAAAATGCTTTTTTGATATATAGAACCAAACTTATGAGAATAAAAAAATAATTAGTAATGGAGAGATTATAAATAATAAAATTATATATTATTATTTTTATAGGGGTCGACAATACGAAGCGGTTGCCAACATCTTAATTTAAGGTATTATATTGCCCTCGCGCGCTCCCCCTCTCTGTCCATTCACCACCCACGTCTATCCTTCCACTTATCCGCTCCTTTTGTCGCCTGCCTTCCGCCACAGAAGCAGGAGAGAGAGAGAGAATGGCCATGCCGATTTCATCTTCCTCCGTCGCAAGGATCGCGACGAAGCACTTCGACGGCCTCGTTCGATCGGCTTCAAGAAGTTGCTCGATCGGAAAGATTCACAGCGACCGGAGGACGAGGCATCCTTCCATCAGAGCCGACCTGATCACAGAGCCGGACGCGTTCGAGGTCGGGAGGTTCGTCGGGAGCTACGGCTTCATGAACATCACCAGGTCCCTCCCCCTCTTCTCTTTCTTACGCGTTCTTGCCTTCGCCTCTGTTTCTTGGATCGCTTCGCGGTTTCAGGAGAATATTGGGTTCCGATCATGTACTTTTTCTTGGAGAATCTTTAGATGCATGTCCGGTTCGCCCGAATCTTGGATTCTGATCATGTATTTTTTGGATAATCTTCAGATGCTTGTTCTTCTGGTTGGGTTCGATCAGGATTCGACTCGGGTCTTGTGATTCTGATCATGTTACTGAAGAATCTATAGGTGCATATTCTTCCGAAAGTATTCGACTCTGATCTTGGGTTTCTGATCATGTTACGGAAGAATCTATAGATGCATGTTCTTCTGATATAATTCGACTCGGGTTTTGGGATTCTGATCATGTAGTTTTTGAGAATCTGTAGAGGCACATTCTTCTGATGAGATCCGGCTTGAATCTTGGATTTCCTTCATGTGTGTTTTGGTTATTTAGTTCCTTAGGGTTTGTAGGGTTTCCTACCTTGGTATATGGGTTTAGTAGTTTCTCCCTCCCTTGTGGATCTTGGTGTTTATTAAATGTCATCTTGCAGTTGAAGCAACTACGAGGGATCTCTAACACATTTGGGTTGGCTTTTTCGAACAGCTATTCATCATTTCAATCAGGAGGGTTTTCTAATGCTAATGTGTTTGATGAATTCTCTCCTGGATATTCTTCGGAAGACATGGAACGTCTGAGAGTCCAAGACGTTGGCGAGGGCCGAGTGAAGATCAGGTGCTTTTGGTAGCTTCAGCCAATTTGCTCATTGTCCTATTTGCTTTTTGTTCACTGACATAGTAATGTTATCATCACTGCAGTCTTTTTCAGGCTTTACGAGGGAAGAGTAATCCAAGGTCCATTGAAGGGAACCCGAGTCATTTTCAAGGTATTCATCTACTAGGATGACTTGCAATAAGTAAGGAAAATGGTTCATCTGCTCTTCTTCTTTTCCTGTGCAATTCTTCTTCTTCATTATTCTTCATGTGTAAATTTCCTTGTCTTGGTATTGAGATTTCATGTTAGCTTTGAATTATGCGTGTCCTATCATAATGTGATGGCTATGTCTAATCAGAAAGTTATATAGCAAACTTAGCATCTACTTTGACACAGAACTAGCAAAATTGCTATCATGGCATATTGTTAACTTTGTCTAAGTGTTTGATCAGAGCTAATTACCGATTATCCCCTAAGGTTAGACCTCTCTAGTATTCCGGTCCTTAGACTTAAAAAATTTACATTAGAATCCCTATAGTTATGAAAGTGAAATACTTAACCCATTTATCCTAACCCCGTCGGTTTTATCGATGGAAGATATAGCACATGACAGCACGTGCAGAAATGACACAAAAACGATGGGTTAAAAAATAATTTCAGTGTCCCAGTTATATTTTCTTTCTTCTTAATTGATTATTGTGATGGTGGCGGACGATGGCGTCGTTGGGGCTGCGGGTGGCTGTTGTGTTTGTGGTCAACGAGATCGACGTAGTGGTTGGCGGAAGAAGAGGGAGAGCGACGGTGAGAGGTGAGACAAAGGGAGAGGACGACACAGATGCCAATGCTTTGCATCTGCATTGGCACCGGTCTGCATTTGCATTGATGTCGACGCAGATGCCAAGTGGTGCCGACGCAAATGTTGAGTGTCATCGTCCCTCAACTCTACCTTCAGGACTCCAACCTGCTCGTCTTTAAGGACATCCCTGCATCGTTCTCGTTGACCACAACCACAAAAGCCACCCACGGCCCCAGTGGCATCATCGTCCGCCACCACCATAATAATCGTTTAAGAAGAAAGAAAACCTAATTGGAACATTGAAATTACCTTTTAACCCATCATTTTCGTGTCATTCCTGCACGTCCTGTTACGTGCTATATCTTCCATCAGTAAAACCGATGGTGTTAGGACAAATAGAGTTAAATATTTCACTTTCATAACCATAGGGATTTCAATATAAATTTTTAAAGTTTAGAGATCGGAATGTTAAAGAGGTCTAACTACAGGGGATAATCTGTAAAGAGGTCTAGCATGATTTTTTTTCTTTAAATCTGATACAAGCATTTAGGTTTATTGGATGCATAGTCTAGATGGATCGCTTACACGAACGCATACTCAAAGAGATCATATTTGTTTATTACTCCAAGGAATTGTGACTCGATTTTAAAAAGTAAATAAGATATGCTACATCTATAAATTGAAGATTTCATCTGATGATACTGTTCATAGTTTTATTATGCACGTTCTGTAGTTGCATCAAACATTTGTTAGAGCTGCTATTATTAATTGACAATGACTAACAGTTCTTTCTTTCTTTTGCCGCTCCTCTACCTCTTATTTCTATTTAGTCATCACATACAAGCTTCATGAATGTGTTTCTTCTCCATCCCATTGCCATCTGACTGCACAGAATGAGCTATTTTACCATTGATAAAGATTTAAGTGCCCATTATTGTTAACTGCTAGAATACTTAGCAGTTCTTCCCCTCCTAGTATCACTTGTACATCGTGGGTACAGTCTTGGACATGGACAAAAACAGTGACCTAAAAAGAACTATTGGTTCTTATTTGTTTACCCAGAATTAACTAGAACCATAGGGTGATGAGCAAGGTGAATGTAATGGTTGACCACTCTGAATTTGGTTTGTCAGGGTGTAATCAATTGGTTCTTCTGTTTCGGCTGTCAAAGCAGCTAATTTTTATCCTGCACATCAGAATGAAATTCATAGATCACAACTTTCTTTTTCGCTAAGAGCTAGCTTATATTCATTGAGGTATATCCTGGACGACGAGCTGGTGGTGTCGAAGCAGATATGATGGCTGCCAATGAGCTAGGTACCCATGTTTTCCTTCAAGTAAGGACAACTTGTTGCCACTTAAGATCTTGAAGGTATTTTTTTACTTTCACTGTAAAAGTATTGTCTTCTAATTTATGAAGTTGCGCTGTGACTTGCAGAGTGATTCAGAAAAATTATGTCCAAATCTTCAGTTTTTGTTAGGTGGTTTTGAGACGAAAATGGGGGAGCAGGTTTGTTACTAAGAATTATCATGCCTTTTGTATCCATAGCAACTTTGTAATTGCTAACAAAGTTTTCTTTGCAGTGGCTTGCTTGTAGGAATGATGGGAAATATAGTGCTGCTGACTATGGCAAATCTGTGAGTGAAGCAAATTCAAAGGATACTGCTAAAGGAGAAAATTTCTGGAACCCTTTTACTAAGGAACAAAAAATGAAGCGAAGAAGAATTTTTGTTATTAAACTGCTTAATGGGGCTATGAATGGTCTGGCCTACATGCATGATCATGACAGATTACACCAGAGTCTTGGCCCCTCTTCAGTTGTTCTAAAGTATACATAAATATATAGGAAGTATTTTTCTTCCCAATGCTTGTTGAACGTTTTTATCCAATAGGGTGAATTTGTATGTTATCTTGGCAGCACAATGGTGGAGAAAGATGCCTCTTATTTGGTGCCGAAACTCCGTGACTTATCCTTTTCAGTTGATATTGGGTAAGCTAAGATTCATTTTTTTCCATTCCTTTTCCTGTAAAAGGATTGTTTAAATTTGTGTTGTGTTTTTGTTTGATCAAAAATGCACTTTCACAAAGTTGTCAAAATTGTCTATCAAATATGTATCTAGCTGTGCATAAAGACAGAACCTGTTTGATAATTCATTGACAATTTCTTTTAGTAATTGTGCTATTCTTCATTGGTGAGTGATAGGCATTGTTATGATATTATTCAATTTGATTCAAATTTAGATTCTTCACCCAAATCACACGAATGCAGAATACTCGAGTCAGTGCTATCAAAAACCGGCTCGCAATGAGTATTTCCCAAATGAGCATCCCAATTGCTATTCAGAATCTAATCTATTCAAGCAGCATCTGAGTTAATGTTGACTGTATATAGCAGTGCTGTGCCTATATATCAAATGTCCCAAGTATCTGCACTAGCTTGGGAGCCATCAGCTTTTTATGCTTGTGATACTTTTGCATTCTAGTGCTTACCATTACCTACCTGGCTATCACAAGAAAGTTGAGTATCTGGCAAAAACCTGCTATAGGTTCTCACAAGTCGCAAGCAGAACTGCCTTCCGGTCTCACATGCTTGCATGCTCAAGCCCTTACTCTTTTATATGCACAGTCGAACCATGTTCAGTAGAAACTTCAATTAGTTGTTTGGCTGTGAACTTAGGTGAACACAGGATTAGTATTAGAATTGCAGCCTATTCCAGATATCTTTTACAATTTACATATAATTATTTTCTTAGTACAATAATAGTTTATTGTATAATTCAATGATAAGATGTTTTGGTATTCTAATTTTGTTTTTTATTTTTTCTTCATGAGATGATGTTAAAATTTTGCACATTTTAGTGTAAATTGTGTATTCATAAGAAAAGGCCTGGGCATGCTAGAGCAGGACGACCCACAGAAAATTCACTAGGATGCTAGGCCTCTGAATCTGAGGACATTTCTGGCTTGGGCTCTAAAATAAGCTCAATCCCTAGGTGGACTGTATTTCTAGTGGGGACATTACTGGCTTAGCCTGGCCAGCCCAGAATTCATACTGACATTTTCTGACAATTTTAGTACCTGTTAGTACTTTAAGAGCTTAAACAATCAAAATTAGCTTACAATGCTACTACACATATTTGCATTAATCCTATGCAGTTCTTTGCTGTAAGTTTGTGGTTCTGTTATGTGGTGCTTTAGATTCTCTTATAAATGAATATCTGTGATTGACTTAAAATATTTGGCAGGTATTCATCATTAGGAGCAGCTCAGAGTACACTATCAGAAGGACTATGGCGACGGGCATCGGCAGCTGGGGCTTTTACTCCTTTGGAGAAACGAGCTTATGGAATAGCTGATGACATGTAGGTTTTGCAAAGCTTATGGAAATATGGTTCTTTGCTTTAATTTGTTTTCTTTATTTATCTTAAAATTTTAATGAAGCAATTGTGCATATGTGTCCGAACAAATTACCTCTAAAATTATTGATGTCGTTAAAACAGTTATGAAGCTGGACTTTTTTTTGCGTACTTAGCGTTTATTCCATTTTGTGAGGCGGGCATTATCGATAGCATTTCCTTGCAAGTAAGTCGGAATTTATTATTGTAGAATGCACCTTGACTTGCTAGTTTTTGTTCTTTTGTCCTTTTGCAACATATAAAGTCTAATCATTTGTTCTGTTAACTTGCAGAGGCTTTTTGAAAATACATTTCAGCTTGACCTTCAAGCTGTAAGAGAGTAAGAAATTGAACTTATAGTTTTTGCAAATTGTACTTCCGCTTATGTTGTTCTTATACAGCCAGCTAATATTTATTTCAAATCATCTGAGAGATAATATGTGATTGGTATTACTGTGACATTCATAAGAATAATAATAAAAAGATGCTTCATGTTCAGAATTATGTTCCGTTATCAACATAATTTTGGGTTTTGTATGTTTCCTTATAGTCAAACTACCAATAATCATGTTTGGTTATTTATTTTTCAGCAAAATGTTCCATGTGATTCCTCGTAATTTTATTTTATCTGATGTAGAAATCTGCACGTATTGTCAATTTTGATGGTGACACCATTAGAGGTTGGTTAGAATTAAGGTCTAAAGTTTTGGTTTAGGGACAACGCCGATCAGCAGTTGGATCAATACGGATCAACGTACAAGACTTTGTGTGGATCAATGTCTATTGTCAATTATTGTTGATTTTTATGGTGACACCATTAGAGGTTGGTTATAATCAAGGTCTAAATTTTTTTGTTTGTGACCAACAACACCAATCAGCGGTTAGATTTGAGGTAGAACTACGAGGAATAGCAATGAATGAGTTGGACATGTCCAAAGGAGATGTAGTGCACCAAGAGAGGTGAATCAATTCATGATAATGGTCACAGGAGGAAGACATCAGAGGACAGCATTAGAAACACTAGGAATGGTGTTCGATGGTCTTTGACTAACGATACAGTCCTTGGTTATTTGGATGTATCAGCAGCTTCTCCTGAATGTAGTAGGTGCTTGCTGCTACTGTGCTGGTGCCATTATTTCTGCTCCTACAAGATAGCAGGTGCTTGAACAGTTATATAAGATAGCATATACGGCATATTTTGTGAATTTTTTGTGTTTTAAATAGTTAGGCTTCAATCTACTGCAAATAATATTCCTCCGAACATGTTTTTAGAGTTGATGGCATGATACATTCAACTGACTCCATATGCTTCTGTAGATATTGTTTAGCGGATGACCGTTTATTGGAAGCTGTCAAGTTTCTAGATCTAGGTGATGGCGCTGGCTGGGAGTTGCTTCAGGTCAGGTTTTGCTTATTATCGATTCTATACGGCCTTTTTGTGTATGTTAGTATTCTTATACATGCTATGTTTTTTAAAAAAATATCTTGTGTGGTTTATGCATATTGGTCACGTTGTTCTATATTTTAAATGAATCAGTTAACCATGTAATGCCAAAAAGACTTTTGTATTTTGAGTGCCTTTTTTCACTCGTTGTAACACTGTAGATTAAGCTACTGAGCTAAATGCTTATTGTAACATTTTCTTTGTTTTGTGACAGGCGATGCTTAATCCCGATTACCGTCAACGTCCAATTGCTGAAGCAGTATTGAATCATCGCTTTATGAGTTTGGTTAATTTATTATAGTCCTTGTACAGTATATAGTTGGCTACTATCGAAATGGCCAATGTTTTTTGGTTTTGTTTTTGAGTCAGAATGGTCTCTCCCGATGTTAAGAAATTTAGCTCCAAACCGGGAAAAGGGGAAAAAATTTTAGTTGACATTTTTGACGAAGATGGCAATATGGTTCTTTGCTTTAATTTGTTTTCTTTATTTATCTTAAAATTTTAATGAAGCAATTGTGCATATGTGCGGAACAAATTACCTCTAAAATTATTGATGTCATTAAAACAGTTATGAAGCTGGACTTTTTTTTGCGTACTTAGCGTTTATTCCATTTTGTGAGGCGGGCATTATGGATAGCATTACCTTGCAAGTAAGTCGGAATTTATTATTGTAGAATGCACCTTGACACGGCCATAAATCAGTTGACATTTTTAACTTGCTCATAGACACACAAGGCACAAAATTTAAACAGTCCGCTGAGTGAGATCACAACCATTGGCAAACCACCAGTCCTGTAGTATTCTGTAGTATTTTAACGACACCATTATTTTAACGAACACCCAAACGAACAACTCATTTTCAATACACTGAAAAACTAATGAGGTTGAAAAATGCTCATGATCTTTGTCCAAAAATGACCAACCAAGATCAGGGATCCAAGGTGTGTTGCTTGCATCGATTAGGTCCAAAATGCTCGGAACTTTTCCTCACAGTTTTCCGGCACATTGCACAGTAGTGTTTTTGGCAAGCCCAGCAGAAGATGTGATTGTTATTACCAACCTGTTTATTTGTTCATAGACAAGAAAAAAAAATCATCACCAGTTGATTTGTTAAAATATGAAATACCGAATTAAGAGAAAAGGTGACTTCAAAAGAAATAGTCCAATATTAATATGCAGAGGTCGTATTGCAGAATTTCTTAGTTTAAACTAAAATGAGCAACTTCGATCATGTGATTTGATAAAAATGAGTAGAGAGTTCTGCATGAGAGCAACGATGCCATGATGGTTATACCACATATTGATGCAACATGATCCTAGACATGGTGATTAAGCAACAAATGATGGTGTAAATGTAATAAACATGTGTAAAAAGCTGCCATCAGAAACCCATCTGACGTCGTAGCAACAGCTGTCTTGAAGCAGGAGCTGAAACATGTAGGTGGATTATTTACATGCGGCAATCAAGTTTCTTGTTCAACAAATGTACAAATTACATGACTACCAATGAATGCAAAAACAGGAAGAATATGCTCAACCGCATTAATCAATATGACAGTTTTTAAGTTTTAAAATGCATCAAAAGTTAAAACAAAGCAATAACTCTGATGTGAAAAACTATATCACTAATTTTCTCACATGCAGTATGATGATATTTTTCATGCACATCATGGATTTATCTCCAAGTAAAAAGCTACATCACAGCGAAAAGCTGGACAGACAAAAAAAAAACCATTGCTACATTAGAGGTATTTAATAGGATTGCTTGCTTTGGAGAGAGTCAAGATGTCCCCCTCTTGAATCTTAGGCTCACCTTTGGATTTACTTGACGACAAGTAGGACATGGATGACCAACATTTGGATATAATTCAGCTCGTATCTGGCCAACCACCTGTCTTGGATTCATCTGAATTTCCCAGCGTTCAATCTCTTCGCGGGGGAACAGTTCACACCCTTCCCTACGATATTAACAACTTTGTCACTGTTTCAAACTGACCACAAAGCATAACCATGTAAGTCATCCTAATTTACGACAATTAAGTCACCTGAAATGGTCATAACCATCAATAGCCTTGTTACAGCGGTAGCAGAAATACTGCCCACAGTTCTGGCACACCATCTTGTTACATCCTTCAGTCCTTGAGATTGCCATCTTGCAAGACGGACATTGCTTAGCATCACGAAGGGCTTCCTTGACACTGAGGATCTCATTTATCATCTCACGCTCCATGTGTAACTGGTTTCGTGAAAGATTAGATGAATTCTGGCGTGCCTGGAACAAAAACATGCCAAACAATCTCATTATAGAAAAAAATATATCATTGAAGAAATGAGTTTTTAACTAGAGTCAACACATTTTTATATTGGGATTGCCGAAAATTTATCATCACACAAAATAAGAAAATTTCAGAGTCAATATAGCAAAATCCCAACTTTCTATTGTGGATAAGAAAATACCCATGAATGGTCTGAGTTGGTCTTCTTTAGGAAAATAACCATTCTAAAAACCGAAACCAAAACCAAGTAAATTCTACACGTTGAATGCCGGCCTCTCTTTCAGATAAATTCAGGTACCTACCTGTATGGTGCACACAAACCTCTTTTTACACCACCAAAGTAGAAAAAAAAACAATATCTCACGCTCCAACTTATTTCAGATGATAAATGAACCCGTGACTCAGTTGGCAAGAATCTCAAGTCACAGGAACCTGAGAGCCATATCAAGTGCAATCCATTATCATTTTCTCCAACAATAACCCTCATAACTTACTAGCACAACTTCCTGTGTGGATCTAATGATGTGATGTCATCATTAGATGTCAGATATTTCCCTAAAGAATCCCAGATGTTCCCATATGGCACAACACATTTGTATAGGTAATCCATGTGGGGTGCCAATGATTGCCCCAATGCTCTTTACTGTGACCTGATAAACCTACCAACAGTCTAAGAACTTGTATGTGAAAATTTTAATTTCAGGTCATCAGTAAGAGATCGAACAGGTCATATATAAGCCCTTCACTTTCTTATTTCTTAATGTGTGACTATTGGGAAGCCATGATAATAACATGGGCTGCATATCTTGTTGAAGGATTGGCAACCTGTAGAGAGTGGAAACCTTATTGTTGTCTGAAGAGAACATATACCATAGTCGATTTTCCATACAGATTTTCCTTTGCCGCAACTCAGACAGTGAATAATCTTAAACCCCAATTTGTCTGCGATTTCATGTAATACCAATTGGACAGGAACTTTTTTAGTCTAGGTGAACAAGACCCCTGCCAACATGGGGTTCGGTAAGCATCAATATACGCAACCTTACCCCTCCTAGGTTATTTCCATGACTCAAAACCATATCTCCTAGATCGCAAAAGTGCAACCTTACACCATATTGCAAATTAACTTCCTATTAGAAAAAAGAAAAAATTGCGAGAATTATGGCTGCTAAATGTCTTGCATAGATTTCTTGTTGCAGTAGTTTAACTTTAGAGTAGGCATATGTCCAGGAATCGACCTCCACAGGAACCTAAAAATCCTCCAGATGAATATTTCTATGAAAGATTTTTGGTAAAGGTTTCTGTACTGGCTTTCAACCATTTTGGACATGTAACATGATACAACTTAGATCACACGTGAATTTATCTAGTAATACAGCAAAATCAAATAATAGCCTGCTGCATTTGGTACCTGCAAAATTTGTAGCTTTACTTCCAGTGTCATACACTCCACTCCTACATGACGACGTTCTCTGCAAAGGGAGCAAAAGCTGAAGAAACATTTTGAACACTGAGCATGATGCTCCTCATCTTCCAAGCATGCCGTTTCACATCTAGGACAGTAGGCTACATCAGTCATTGAGTCCAATGTCTTCTGCAACACTAATGATTCCCATCGTTTATAGGCTTCACTTCCAAGTAGTCGTTTCAGTAAACCAGGTGGAACAAAACCACCACATCTATCAGTAGGACACAGCAACTTGGTTACAGTGCCCTCCATCACATGCATATTGGAGTAGGTTTCCAAACATTTCCAGCAAAAGAAATGTTGACAAGGAAGTTTGATAAAACTTGTACCTAATGAAGCATGTAAAAGATCATAAAAGGGTATTTAATGCGAGAAAAATCTTGATAGTACCAAAAACATTTTGATTGATGATATCTTTAAGAAGAATGCAAAACAAAAAGTATTTATACATAATAAGATATATGCATAAAAATAAAGATTTAAGTATTCATAACTGAACTAAGGATAGTATTTTTACATAACTTAATGATGATAAAATATCCATGTAGCTAACCTTAAATAACTGAGGCATTATGGCATGTTCTAGACATATGACTATAGGTATTTCTAACTAAAACAAATTCGATAAAAAAATTATCATTTAAAGAGAGAAAAAGCATCACAAGCCATTATCACACCTATAAATGATGTATCTTTTGTGTGTTAAGTTAAAATGCTAAATTGTAATAGTGGTTGGTATCATGGCCGACAAATAGGAGGTGTTTCTATGAAACATTAAGATTCTTGATGGTCTAGATGAGAATGCAATGACCTAGAACTCAAGTAGTTCATTCACTCTTAAGTACCTAGGAAAAATCTGGTCATTAGGTAAATATGCTTGTTCACATTGGAATTTTGCTTCAAAGTAAATGGTAGGTAAATCATCAATAAAACAAAATCTTCATTATCAAGTTTTTCAAGCCTATTTTTGTAATAGAAAAAAAAGTGTTTGATCCGTTGCACAAGGCAGAACTTCCACCAATGTAGAGTATGAGGAGGGTTAATATATGTAGTATTTCCCTTGCAAGCAAGGAGCTTGTCTATGCAATTTGAACCTTAGTCGCCTAGACCGTAAAGAAGCAAACTTACTCTGACAAGTGACAACAACAAATACTGTCCTGCATCGCAGGAAATTATTATAAAATTCTGCCATGGTAAGGTTAAAGATGATAACCGACTAAAATTTAGGAGAAGACTGATGTGTTAAGAGACAAAGGCGTCTTATGTCCAAATGGAGGTAACTTGTGGACATCAATAGGGAAGAATCGGAAGACTCCTAAACTGATTAGGAAGGATCCAAAAAAGACAAGGCACTATAGGACATTAATTCTAAGTCAATTAGGACATGACTGTGAACCCAAGAAGCAACAGGATCACAATATAAAGGAAAGTAAAGCAGTTCTTGTAGCAATGCAGGAACTCTTGCAAAGTGCTGGATACTGCAGTATAAAAATAATTGGATTATTTTTAATGTGTTTTTCATGTAATAAGATATCCTAGACTACATTGGAATCCTAATATGATTAATACAGAATACGAGTATCCTTCTATGTATGACTCACTGTAGGCCTCTAAGCCATACTAAACTATTGCTCTTTCCCTTTTTGCATTAATAAAGAAGTTGATTGTAATCCTAGTTGATAGTTCACATGGGAAGCTTCTAGATCCCCTTAAATCAAACCAAATCTATTATGTAACAGTATCTATCTATTGATTAGTAGGATAAGTACAATTAAAATAGTACGTGTCAGCAGTGATGAAATATCATGTGGTAAGAAGAAACTATGCCGAAAAACTGAACACTAGATATTATCAAAGTTTGTGCATAGGTACATGAGTAAGCAATTAAAAAAAAACAGTACCTAAGAGTCTAATTGACTGGTTTAAGGATACATCTTGGAGTCACTGGATCTTTTGAGTAATATTATCAAAACTAACTTGGAATTCAGTTTACCATGTCTTCCCTTCTCTGTAATAGGAAATGTAGTACTATTCTGACTATATAAATGATGAACTAATTCTACAAGCAGTCATTTGTTACTGAAGCTTGGCGGGCAATCTGTTCTGTTGGCTAAGTTCTAATGAAGTGGACATTCCTAACCATCTAATTCGTACGAGAGGAATCAGACTGATATGAATAATATGTAAATATAATGAGAAAGACACTGAAAGGCTTGGCAAGTCAAGCTTTCAATCTTGCAGTAAACAGAGATGTATAGTGGATAGGCTTTTCTCCAAGCATGACAGGATCTTATCACTCTAGTATTCACTCTGGCAAATCGTTTACAAGACTACCTTAGTTTTGAGCTGCATGGAGCTTATTTATGGATATTAATCACAAGTAGATACACAGATGCACAAGAAGAAGAGCATTTAAAGCTTTTCTGGTCGATCTCTCACATCCTTGTTTGTTATCTCATAGGAAATAGTGCATCTAACTCTTTTGAGAAGTTTAAGATATGTTCGAGGTTGGTTCTGTATTGTCACTAAGCTTTTATCATAGGCAGCTTCCTGTCAGAAGCCATCCTTATTATGCTATATATATCGAGGAGGCGAGGACATTTATCAATTCAAGTTCCCCTGCCAAGCATTAAAGGACAGCCCAGTTCATGATAGCTCCCACCAATACATGGTCTTGCGAGGGTTAATATATGCAGCCTTAACCTTAGAGGTAGAGAAGTTATTTACACATTTCAAACCCTCTGCGTGATAGTTTATTAACTTAGATGAAATATAAGGGACTAATGGTGGTTCAATATAGCAATTGTAAGGGATGAAATATAGCATAGCTATTAGAATACAAATGAGTGCTGAATAATTAAAAAACAAAATGGCATCCATAGGTTACCATAAAGTGAGATAGGAATGAAACTTACCTAGGAGCAGCATCACGGTCTTTTGAATAGATGGCTGTGATTGAGTTCTATATCAAGAAGGTCTAAACTCAAGTTAATGGATCAGTTATCTCATCAGGTCGAATCGTGATATATTAAGTCCTCAACATGATAAATAGAAGAGACTGATTAGCAATTGGGACTTCAAATGAAAATTGAGATCTTACCAAATGCAAAATTTTGGTACAGCATGAATCATGACAGGGCTCAAAGATTTGTAATTTTGAATCAACGAGTCTAGGAGGTTCCCATAAGAGAGGGTGAGAAAAGAAGCTTATACGACTATTTTGAAATAGTATGCATTTATCTTTTGGTTATCAATTGAAAAGCTATAAGGCAATTATTATACTGACCAAAATTTGCACAGCCAAGAATGTGTAGAACAACTGAAATACTAGGAGATGCACTCGCAAGAATCACATTGAACAGAATAATACTAAACTAACTGCATTAACTAGCATATAGGACTTTTAAGGATTTAAATTCATATATGGGATATAAACTACCAAACAAGCATACATTTTGGATGTTAAAAAAAATCATAACATTCAAGGGAAGGAGCTACTTTAATTTACCTGCATATTCGGTGAAGCAGATAATACACTGATGAAGATTGTTAAGAAAAGATTGATGGCATTTCTCCTGATCATAATTGATCATAGAGGAAATGATAAAATCCGGTCGGGCATTTCCAAAATCGGCACGGATATCTTTCACATCTTGCATGTCATATCGATCCAGCATTACACCACTATCAAACCCAAGGTAAGAAAGAGAATAATTTTGTAGCCAATCTACCCACTGATATGTAATTTCTTGTCCTGGTTGCTCCATCCATATGGCATCCAGCTTATGACAAAGACTGGAAATTTTTTCGGAGTTCAACCAATCTACTGTGATGGTAAAGTAGGGGGGACGATGACTTGGATATGATTTAGGCAGTAAACACGTCAACAGTAGTGGAGGCAAATATTGAACATTGAAAGTGTACAAAAATTCATGAGAATCATCACTTTTTGTCCTCCCATTTAGACTTCTGGACCCAGATTTTACCTTAGTGGTAGACGATTGGAGCATTGCAGATACATTGATGCAGTCAGGGAGATCGTACTCCATGCGTACCTACCCCAAAGACATCAGGTAATCAACCACCTAGTGTTATAGTTTATACAATTGCACACAAGAAGATCAGTGTTAATTAAACAAACCTGGAAAAATCTTAAACCCTCTTTTTTATCAAAGCTCAAAACATTGTCCCCATAAATTGCTTCGAGAGCCAAAACCTGCATATCAGAGACCAACTGTGACTAAAAACAAATTTTAACCTAAGTAACTTCTTTTCTCATGAACACACATTATGCCAAGAATGATTATGTCCGTCTTCCAAATGCTATTCAATTCTTTGATAAAAGCAAGGTTTGATGTACTGAAGTATAACGCTCGGTACGAGCGGTACATACCGGTCCAATAGAGGATCGGTACGGGTGGTATGTTGGTACACCCTAGTGTACCATGTATCGATAGGCTCGATACAGCTTGGTATGTACCATACCAACAGTTGGTCGATACACCGATACGGACCGATAATGCAAACCATGGATAAAGAATATTTTGCTATATAAGACCAAAAAGCAACTCAAATACTGCATCTTTGGAAATATCTGTTTAACTGCATAAAGAATTTTGAAGAAACTATTTACAAGAAACTATTTACATGTAAAATATAGTGAGAGCTCATGTAAAACAAATGAGGGATGGTTATCATTAGAATCAACATCATAGAGCATAAAGAATTTTAAAGAAACTATTCAATTTGGTGCACGTCGAAGTTAGTATTATATTCTTTTTTTTGCCTTTCTTACTTTCCTCTTTTTTCTCATTTAAGTACTTGAGTTATCATCTGATTTACATATCCTATTGATCATTTATATATGTTTGTGGTTGTTACTTATGATTTTGTAGAAAGTCCAAACTACAGACGAGCAATCATCATCACGCACTTTATGTAGCATTGTGGTAGTAATCCTATTCCCATTACTTACTGTTCATTCTGTTTCCTCCTAGGAAGTTCTTCTAGCAACTACACTCTTAATCACAAGTTAAATGGTGGATAACCCTTTTGTGGTCTTTTAGTAAATAAAGTGCCTCTCATCATTACCAGTTGTCACAATGAATCAATGTAGCCCAAAAGCCAACTCACTGGAGGCATGAAAGGCATTGGTCTTATCTAGGCCTGCAACGTGAGATGTGTAAAAATTGCTACTTGAAGCCCTCACTTCTAAAATAAATCTCTGGAACAATAATTTATTTAATGTTATATGATGTTTTTGTAAAAATAATTGATGTATAGGCATATGACAGAGTGTATGTGTAAGGTTGTTGGCCGATGCTCTTCTACTAAGTGTTCTGTGGTGTGTTTGCAACGAACAAGGTAGACGGAAAATCCAAGGTGATGTAAAAGCTATGGGCCTTGGATGTTCTTTACAGCAATGGCTTCAGATTCTTGACAAGGTTAATCTAGACCTTGTAAGGTGGCTGCATTGCAATATTATCTTGCCTCCGAGGTCTTATTCACTAAAACCCTGTGGCCAGTAAGTTTCACGTGAATGTGGCAGTGCAATTCCACACTCTTATTTGGTATAGTATATCTTAAAAGTCTAAGATAACATGCTAGTGCAAGAGATAACTAATTTAATGAAATAAAAGTGAAAAGGCAAGGGAGTAGGAGATTGGATTGGAAGAAGAAAACTAGAATCTGGACAAAACACCCAGAGGTTGGATGAGACAGGCTTTATTCCATTTTCTATTAGTTCAAAATAATTTGAACTAACTAAAGATCTTATCTTATCATTCTTTTAGATAATGATAAAAGAAGTAAACCTACACAAATACAACATCCAACAGACAAATTTCCTAACCTCAGACAAATTTAAAAATTTGACTCATCCTAGACTGGAATGCATCATAATAGGATCACTAGACAAACAAATTAAAAAACATAACTCCTAGATTGGAATGCATGATATAGGATTTCCTAGACTCGAACAAATTAAAAAACCTGATCTTCATACATTTGGATCCATCATAACAGGCATCCAATCTGATATTATTTTCTAATTTATCATGTGACATAGGCCAAATGACATTGTAACATGGAGCTAGCTAGTCATTGCTATGTCGATTACTACTAAGTCTTGATATTACCATTTTTTGTTATTTTCAAAATCCAAATATATCGAGCTACATACTTAGGAGATGTTGTTCAGCGCATATAGCAAGAATGATGACCATGAAAAATCTCAAACCAATTTCTAGTGACCCAGTCAAGTACAATCACTGATCTTGCTAAGTGTTTCCCTTAAGAAGCATGTTCTTACCCACATACTAGAAGCTGCATGCTTAATGCTAATGTTTGGTTAGCAGAGGCAACTCTAATCAAGGCAAATGGTGGGTCTTACTGCCATTATTGCCACTAATATTTATGTGAGATTCCTGTTCCAGTAAATTAACACTTGATATCGGTGTTTAAAAGACATGTATTCTTCAAATTTGGACTGAGTTACTAAAATGATGGTATCTTGAGAATTATTAAAGTAAAGGTTCCTTTTTTGCTTTCAGTGTCCCCATAGAAGCCCCCACAACAGCTGCCCTAGTGTCCAATAAAGCTCACAATTTCTAATTGGATTAAAGAAGTGTCAGTTTCTTATTTTCTGGTGACCACAAGACACAAAGTCTCACCACTATGAATGACAGTTTTCATCAGTGAAACAATCGCTTTAAGAACAACATCACTAATTTGCCAACATTGAATACGAACTAATTTTGTATACAGTTTTCACCAGTAGTAAACTAAATTCCAGAGACTTGACAAAGATTACTTCTCTTATAATTAATAAACAAGTATCACATAGACATGCCATCTAAATATCTTCACAAAATTTAGAAGGTGACCACAAAATGATTTTCTTGAGGAACCCCCTTGCCATTGGCAGGTGCTAGAAAGTTCGAAAGAAAGTTACGATAGATGGAGATCATCCCATTACGTTTGTCAAGCAGTGACAGAGCAACGTGAGGTAATTTGACCCAAACAACGCCCTTAAAGCCCTTTCCACTCCATAGATATGGACACATACCTTTCCCACTCTTCACATGACACCTCTTACTGTGTAACTTTGCCCCCCCACCCAGCCACCAACGGTTATAAAATGCCTTTAAAACGTACACAACAAATGTGAGGTCGCTATTCAAGATGCCTAAAATAGCGAAGGGAACCAAAGTGAAAAAGCTATCAATCTCACCTTGCCACTGGTAATACAACCATGCAAGTAATGATTTTCGCCAGTTTCTCCCCCCAAACTAGCAATTAGTCCTCCTTGATAAGATCCCCACCCACATCCTAAACTATGTCAAGAATGGTCAGATCATCTCATTCTTGTCCCTACACGGAATTATTGTTCAAGAAAAGGACCACAAATTATCAAGAACTTAATCCAACCAACAAGTCACGAATTCTTTAGCTAGGAAGAGAAGTCCAAAGAAATTACCTCATCCTCTTGCATCTGGTCATTGACCCGTATCTGTTCTTCCGATAACTCGGGTTCCTCTCCACTAATCCTCAGCTCATCCAATCTCCCGATTGCCGCTTCGAGATATTTGAGATCGTCCGTGGCACCCATCGCGGATGGATCGCCGGATTCGTCTCTCTGATGTTCACGATCGGATCCGACCGCAATTCTTGATTCTTGGACGGGGCCGACGGGATCTGGGGTGGGGTTCGAGGTTTCGGACGCAGAGGAGGTCGCTGTGGGTTCTTCCCGTCTCGGTTTCGGCACCCATCTGACGGCGGAGGAGGACATGGCTCTCTCTGTCTCTGGGATACGGTTCGCTTCCACGAGCTTGCGAACGGACGCAGCGTCGCCGCCTCGGGAGAGTCGAGTTCTTGATCCCAACCGTGGGAAGAACCGTCACGGAACCGTCGTAAACGCTAAGATGGTTGGTGTGGGGGGTGGGTGGGTACGGTCACCTGCGGTGCGTGAACACGGACAGAGTGGTGGTGAAGGTTTGTTATCGGAACGGGGAAAGCATGTATAAATTTTGTGGCTTACCGCCATTTCACTCGATGAAGTCTTTTATGGGTGTCGGAGGACAGGAAATAATAAATTGGTAAATACTCGCTCGAGCTTAAACAAGATCATCAAAATTCATAAATTTATGGATTACATGAGGGTAACAAATTGCTAAAATTGATATGTTTCGATATGTTTTAAGAGTTAGTCATGTTGAAAAATATATAAAAAAAATCTTCTCGAGGAGATGATGTGATCGTGACTCAAGGATTATTCGTCAAAGATTATATTATGGTATTTTCTGTAAAATCTCTTTAGCGATCAAGTTAGAAAGCTTTTATTCGTTTAGAATATTATGAGTCGGTCCATAATAATATAATATTTATTTTATAATAAAATAAAATATATACAATAAGGTTGTTTTATATGGTTGGATCTTATAATAATCGATTTAATGAGATGATATTTCTTTTTGATGTAATGTGGATGAAGTATGTCAAATCGGATTTTTGTCATACTTCGATTGGGCATATGCTAGACTCTTTGGTCTAATGAAAATAATGTATAAAGAGAATATTTTTAGATATCTAAAAAATTTTGGATACTTTCTTCGTATGATTTGATATACTTTTTGGCAAGTGTATAAAAAGAATATTATTTTTTAATTATTTCTTGATGGATGTATTTTTATTGGATATATCATGTATAAAGAGATGTTTATGATATGGTTGACCACTAATGTGACTGGCTTCAATGCAACCAATCCAAAGTTATCATTGACTTGTCAACATGATTGTCCCGAGGGCTCAATCATCGTGAGGGTGCGGTCCTGAGATGATCATCTTGATAATATGACCAACTTAAGAAAATAACGGACTTGAAAGAGTCATCATTTTTAAAAAATAATTATCATGATGTTGAAAGATCTAAAATAGTGTGATTGTCTTGAGGAAGTTCATCTCAATAATGAAATTGGCTTATAGTAGCAATGGTTTACTTCTTACTATTTAGTTGTATTTCTTTCTTCCTTACATAAGGGTTTTAATTATATTTAATTGATTCATAAATGATCTAAAGCTATCAAAGGAATCATTATCAAGGAATCATAATGACCTAAAGCTATTAATGGATGGATGAATCAACACAAATAAGTGTGAATCGACTAGTTGCTTGGTCTCATTGGACAACTTCATAAAGTAGTTAGCTAGAAGTTCTTCATCCTCTTCTTCAGACATTAATTTTTGATAAGAGTATTCAAATTCTTCCACTAACTACACAAAGGATATGATTGGAGGGGGTGTATTGCAGGAGTTGTTGGAACTTAAAGGGAGAAAACTCAAATTCCCTTCACTATTCAGATACTTCAATCCCATCTCTACAGTTGAGGAACTTCTTCCACCACACTCTTACTCTCTCCTCAACAATTTTATTAAAAGGTTAAGAAGTAATATTAGCTTAGGTACATTTATTTATGTTTTATTAATAATAATTATTAATTTGGACCATAAATGGTAATCACATTTGATGAGTTGTAAATTATTACCATTCAAATCTTATTTAATTTTGCTTCCATCCATTTATTAAGTGGATGTGAAAATATATTTCTGCATATCAATAAATTTTGATTCTATAATTCTATTTTTTTGATTTCAAATCAATGAATCTATTAATTATTTTTATTGTAAAAGCTGATAATATATAGTTGACTATCTTACTAAAGGCTTAAATAGGACTAAGGTCCTAGTGTCATTGAGAGTGATAGATTTTTATCTAAAATGAACCTTCTCAGGGTGGGAACCCAACTTCTCTGATAGAAGATCCGAGGTTCAATATGATAATAACAAGTTGATTGGTTAGGTAAGGAGTACGATGGTTAGCACTTTAGTGTATATAGATATGAAGTTTATCTATAACCCTATTTATATGATAATTAGTATTCCTATATAGAGGTATAGGAAAAATATAGCTTTGAAAGAGACTTGATGTAATATTTTTTTGCGAGATATGACTCTACACATATGCCTGATAGAGGCTCTCCTATATAAGAGAATTCATACTAGAAGTCTAGGTAATTTTTAAAATTTTTCATGAATAAATAAGATACTTGGCCATTACTGTACAGCCACAAATATGTATTTCATATAAGTTAGTTGAAGTTTGGGTTGGAAGGAATATACTTCAAGATTTTATTCACTTTGTTTTCTTCAAATAAATACTTTACTAAATAAGATTAAGTGTTTGAAAAATACCTCATTGGCTGCACAGTAGATACACCAACAGCAATTTTTTTATAATTTTATTTATTTATTTATTTATTTGACAATGAGAAACTTCTTTTGCTCTCCCTCAAGAATCTTTTTAAAAGATTAAGAAGCAAAGTTGGCCTATCATTTGCATGTATTTATCTGAGTTTAATGAGTTAGATTTAGGTGAATGTTTGGGCATGACATATATTAGATAATTATAAAATTATTCATTTATCCTTGCTATAGTAATCAACACTACTACATAAGTACTACCCACACAATGCACCAATTGGGAGCATGTAGTTGCATTATCCTGAAATTCTATCAAAAATTATGAGAAAAATAGAGAAAGAGAAGACCAGAGAAGTTTTTTATTTTCTTGGTTCCTTTTTGTTTTTGTTTCATTGTTAATGTGAAACATTTTTAAATTTTTCATAATTGTACTCGTAGAAGAATCATCACAATTGTATCTTGAGTGATTCCACGATGACACTTGTACTAGGTCGAGGATTACACTTAGCACAATGCTTACACACTTCCGGATTCCTCTTTTAAACTTTTTTATTTTAATTTCTATATATTTAAGTATATTTTTAATTTAATTAAAAGTTATTTTAGTATTGTTACTCTAATACTACGATCATTCCCTGGTATTTCCTTGTAGTATGATTGAAAAAACATGACACATTATGGTATTAAAAGTGGTGTATAAGGTCATTTATGTTCTAAACGTGATATGTGCTATGAGTTTTGCGCTTATATTAAAGACTTTCATTAGTGAAGAAAGTCGTCTAAATCCACTTGATTATATCTTCATATTATTCATGTAAGATAGAAACAGTTAAAATTAAATCGGATTGATTTCTCGTGGAAGTGATTGTGACTCTTGATTGAATTGATTGATGGTATTAACAAATATGAAGTTCTCTATAGTGATTGGAATTGGTTCTAAGGACAACGGGAACTTATGGTTGATGAGCAATTGGATGTTGTGCTACCACCAACTTTGTCGATTATGAGAGAAGGGGATGATGGTTTGCATCATCCAAGTTAGGGTGTGGACCTATTAGTTGAGATCGCTTTAGTAGGTGCTTAGAAAAGATAATTCATGATCGTTCTAGAATTTATTGGTAGTATGGATCATATATCTAATTTGGATGCTCGTGTAACGAAGAATGAGGATCTCTTCATTAACATTCAACATTTTCTTTTGGGATATCTTGGATTTGATTTTCCTATGATATTATCTCGAAATATTCTCTTTCTAGCTTTAATATGTTATAATCAATTTAGATCATCAATGTCAAATATCTAGAAAAGATGAAGACAAAATTTAAAATAATATAATTATAATTGTAGTGGAATTTGTTCGTCTATCTCATGTTCAATATCATATCAAGACTAGGGTGCATTGAGCAAAATCTCTCCGATGATCAAGTTTATTTTAGATATTAAAAAATCCATAAGAGTTCAATATTTATTTAATAAAATCAAAATATAAATATAAATAAAAAGGTTGTCTTATATAGTGTCAATCTTGTAACTGTCTTTAATGAGAAAATATTCTCTAATGTCATATAACATATCAAGTACCTTGTTTGTCATTTCTAAAAGTGTACCTAATGTGCATTGAATAGATTCCATTTGTCTCGATTAATGAAAATAATTAGATATCAAAACTATAATAATCTTTTAGTTAAACATCAAATTAGCTAAATTATAGACATTGGATAAGAAAGTCGATGAAAAAAAAAAAAGGTTGTGATAGGGAATATGTTGGTATCTCAACCTACCAGTTGGCCACCACCAAGGCATTGAGGTGAGCAAAGCAAAGTTTGGATCATCCTTTCCCAATAGTAAACGAAAGGGTGACAATCTATCGCCCCAATAGATCGTAACCTAAGGGAAGCAGTACGGATCAACTGTCAAGGGTAGTAGCTCTTAGCGACAAAACCTTCCTGTGCCCTCCTTGGTCGACTCGCATAGACAACGACCATCTAACTATCCCTAACAGCCGTCAAGACTACGATGCCCCTACAATCATTCTTCACTAATGACATGCCATAGGAGACTGTATGGACCGACCATCCACATAAATACTCCATAAAAGGACATATGGGCTAGTCTACATTAGTCGTCAGTCCCCCTCCGTTGATTGCCCAGGTATAAAAGTTCGTCCAAAGGGGGCGCTACTAGTTTTTGTTTAATGACTCCGGACTCTTACCTCTAGGGTCGAATGCAGGGTACCTGATCGTCCTTGCTGAGGCCTTCCTAAGCCTCATGCATTAGATATAGATGCTAGCGAGGATGATATAAGTCATCGCCCCCCTCCTACCCTAACTGGCTCAATAGGTGGCCCCACCTCCAACACTATAACTGACGGTACAGCCCTCACTCGCTCTCACACCCGTCGGAGCCTCCCCGACAAACCCATTGTCAATTCCCCTAGTTTAGATTCCTGAGGGTCCTCATCATTAACAATGGAGTATAATTCAATAATACTAAATTCAAGAAGTTTTATCAATCCTGTGGAATTTAACTGAGATTTAGCTCGATAGCTCATCCCCAGACCATTGGCCTAACGAAGCTCACCAACCGAGCTATTCTTAAAGGGCTAAAGAAGAGAGTTATAGTGGCAAAAGGCACCTGGGTCGATGAGCTCGCAAGCATACTATGGGTGTCTCAGACCACTCCCATGATTGGCTCGAGCAAGTCACC